GGGTATCACTTTGAAAAAGTTGAAGGCCATGTTTTCATCTTCTTCTTTTGCGCCTTAGAACTGATTCTTTTAAAGTTCGCGTGATTTAATCGCATTGGTGCATGGTCCAATTATGTATAATTTTAGCACTGATTTCCATTTTTGACCTCGTGAAACGAAAAAGTCACCATATTATGTGAAATTTAATTTAGCGCTGTATTCAGTGATCAGGTGGTTACGGACTACAAGGCTGTTATTAATTATCACTGCCTGAGGGAATGCCAACATCCTTGGTGGACGGATGGTAACCAACAAGGGTTTATACAAATTCAGTATGGGCGCTTATGGCTGGATTCTAAATGTTGCATTTCAAGGAAAAACTTATTCAAACTGCATTTAATGACAATAAAATTAAACGGCTTTTCAAGCACATAAGGTCTTGTGGAATAGAGAGGGAGGTCTGGGCTGAACCTTAACTCAGGGTCATTTTAAAAATAACTGAGGAAGAAGGTGCTGCTTTTGTCGACAGACCTTAGAGTGGCTCGGACCACTTAAAATGGTGGTCTGTGAAGGAGTCGAAAAGTTACAAACCGCTTACAAACTAAATAAGTACTTAGTGGAAAGTATAAACATTCAGGTACTCACTAATTAAGTAGTAGTTTTGGAAAAGGGAAGAAAACTGTGGATTCTAGCTTGCGATTACCTTTTAAGGTGCTTGATTTCTTCTTATAAACAGCCTTGCAATGGAGTTTCCTCAGTGCTACTTTCTTCTTGAGCACCTTTCACAGTAGAGGTGACTGAACAAAAATACTATGGCTCCGATGAAAACTGAGAAGCTCGGATTAACGGAAGTCCGTAAAAAGCAAGAGGATAAACCTTAATAATTAGAAACATCCACTTTTGCTGAAACGTGTTCATCCTTTGTTACCCTTGTTCCAAAGGTCTGTTCTCAAAATATCTAGGATATAATAAACCGCTTTAAAAAGAACCAAAATTAGCTCCCGAGAGAGCTTTGCGCATCGCGTTGCGCCTCGTTGTCGCAAAAGTAACGCAAAAGTATCTGAAGTATGTTCGCCATTATTTGTCATTTTACCAAAACAAAAACATAACGCATGCACAGCAAGCACAATTATAAGAAACTGTACTGGCAAAAACTGCCTTAAAATTTCTTAAACCCTTTCTCTCGTAGACAAATCAGTTATGACGAAATAGTTTGCACTCCTAAATTTTAAATCTTTAAATCTGGGCCAATATCCCATGTTGTTATCGTGCATTCCACTGGAAACGCTTTGGCAGAACCTTTGCATAATCTCAGCAGTACATTTTATTACGACCTCTTTTTTATGGGAGTCGCCCAAATAAAGTTATCGAGTTCGCTTTTTTTGATTCAAAGTTGCAATAGGCACGCAATACGTGCGAACGTAAACAAGCCAAGCGACGCAAATGTCTGCCGAGCGCTGCGTCACAACACAGTATTCATCTTCGTTACATATGACCAAAGATAACGCACGGCAAACAAATCGGCAACAGAAAACAAACTTATTGGAAAAACAAGGTACACTGAGTGAAACAAACTATTAAATAATTTAAATTTTCCCTTTGAAAAATAATCATCATCGAAGTACACGGTGAAAATGGCTTGGCTTATTGCCAAGTGTTTGACAATATTTGTGCCCTCAGTTGGCGAGTGCCAAAGAAGATGTCACGCAAAATTCCATGATCTCGTGCAATACATGAGATAATTTAGGGTAACATTGAATGATGCACAATTTCATTGCAAATTTCCGGGAAGGAAGTGGTTACTTAAAATCTTATTGAGCAAAATGACCTCGTAAACAAGTTGCATTCTTTCACGGTCGAACCGTAAAAGGGGGAAGTCCAACATCTTCACGTACAAACCTCGTTCTATTTTTAAAACCCTTGGGTTAATTATTTTAAGTCGTATTCTCTCATACACGAACCACAAAATCGGCAAATTCCAAAGCTTTCACGTGCAAACTGGGTGACAATACAACTCACAGCAAGGGCCTGATCACATGAGCAGGGGAAGCAATGCGCATGAACAGTGTGTTACCCGCGGTTCTATTTTTCGCTTTCATTCGCCGGGCCGCCCGGCAAGCGTGTTTACTTGGAAAATTACCGCCCGGGATCCCTGAATCACAATACTGGGATCCCAGCTAACCGAGCTGACTCGGTTGTCATATAATCGCAAAGTTGATTTTTGCTACGTTTAACCAAGGTGCCGGGATCTCAAAAGCGAGCCAGCTCGGCTCATGTTATGAGACCGTTAGTTCTATCACTAGATTTTACGCCCTCCCCTTGACCTCACCAATTTTCAAAGCCCCCGAGCACACACACAAAATTTCAGCCCCCTCCCCCTCTCCTCAACATCTTCATACCCCCTTCTCTATATTAAATGAACTTTTGACCTTGCAAATGTTATCAAAAATAAGCAAAAAACAATCCAAAACAAAAAGCCTAACAACGTTTAAAATAAGAAGTACAAGTTTGTTTTCGACTACTGATAAGACTTCTCACAACCACCACTTCATTTCAACACACTGTAACTACACCATCCCTTCATAACCAAATTGGCACTTCCACACCTACCTCACTGCAACATCTAAAATCACTTTTACCCCCCAAAGTAACTACTTTTTGTTACTTTATGTTAAATTCTACGAGAAACAAATTTCACTGATTAACAAACTAAACAAAACTACAGCCATTATCTTACCAATTAACGTCCAGTATAACTCCTCGCCTTCCACTTCACGCACCTCAACTAACGGCATAAAATAGACAACGCTACTGCACTACTTACACATCCCTAACACACATAAAAGAAACTTCACACACGCCTAGTACGTCGACGTTAAAATATACGCTCAAACAGCGTCTTGTGTTACTAGTTTTGGAAAGATAAACAAAGATAATTGACAAATCAAACTTCGTAAACGACGTGAACTAATCTTAAGGGAGCTTAAGCAATAACGACTGCGACGGCTACGAAAAGGACACGTACAAAGTAAAGTCGCGCTGCTTCAAACTTCATCGCGCTTATTCCATGTCGTTCAATTCGTCAAATGCTGGCTATTTTTTCTGGAGTTAAATTCTGAAAGAGGGTAACGAAGTTCAGGAAAAGAAAAACAAAGTCGTTGTTTTGCGTTCACGTCCTCCACAAAACGTGAAATTAGGCATTTTCACGTCGTAGTCGTGCAGTGACGGCAAAGAAATGTACCAAAAAGCGTGATGGACGTGCAGAGCTGTTGTATCTATTCCTGTTTTGCCGTTCTCGCTGACGTCGCCTTTTCCAGCTCGATCACTTTGTCAAACATTAGCAAATTTTTCTGGAGTTGAATTCTAAAGAATGCATCGAAGTACGGGAAGGGAAAAGAAAGTCGTCTTGGTTTTACGTGCTCCACAAAAATTGAATTTAGACATTCTCACGTCGTAGTCGTGCAGTGACGGCAAAGAAATGTACACAAAAAGCGCGATGCACGTGCAAAGTTGTTGCTAAACCTATTAAGGACTTTAAGATCCAACGACGCGGACAGCAACGACAACGTCAAAAAAACAATTGGTCTAATAAGCAAAACAACTACTTCGTTTTTGCACGACTACGACGTGAAAATGCCTAATTTTGCGTTTTATGGAGGACGTAAACAAGCGACGACGAAATTTTATTTCTCTTTCTGAGCTTGGATATGGTCATACAGTTTTAGGAGGGTTTGCCTACATTTGACAAAGTAAGTGGGTAGGAATAATCGCTATCAAGACTGAAGGAACGCAGATTTAATTTTTAAGCGACGTTCTTCTTGCCGTCGCGTCGTTGGATCTTAAAGTCCCTATTGCTTTTTTGAGGTCGCAGTGAGGGTTTCCAAGTATGGTACTTACAAAAATGAATATTTACGAGCTCTTAGTGCGAGTTACCCTTTTTCTACCCCTTATGAGTTTCTGACTGATAGGCAAGACAACATGTGCACGTGCATCACTCTTTCTTGTAAAATTTCTTTCTTGCCGTCACCGCACGACTACGACGTGAAAATGCCAAGACGAAAATAAGTTTTCCAAAAGCGAAAGACGCTAATCCAGGCTTAATCCAACTGACATATAGTTTTAAACCGGGATTAAGGCTGATCGATCAGTTCGAATAACATGGCCCAGTTGTTTTCAAAGAATTTTGTTAACATTTGATGACGGTTCAGGGCAGAGAACAAAATTGGGACAATCGGATGGTACGGTTTACAAGTAAAATCGAGAAGAGAGAAGATTGGCGGCAGCGCCACACAGGCGTCTCCCTCCCCGATTTCGTTTGAGGGGAGGGGGCGGCTGAACACAGGCTATATGTTTGACGCAGAATAAACATGGCCACAGAAATTATAGCCGGAATAAAGAGTTAAAAATAAATAAATTTAATCACCTTAAACTGAAGAAATCGTATTGGTCTTCATTTAAAATATTCAAGACCACAGGACAGGCTTAGGGTCTTATACTGCATTGAAAAGGATAATTTATACTAAAGAACTTCTAATCTTGACTTCTCAAAGATTAACATGATATTCTCGGTGGATTAAGTAACAATCTGATCTACTCTTAAAAGAAATAAGGATTGTGGCTTTTTTCAGTTTGACAGTTTTGCGCAGAATCTTCTTTAACAGAGATTCCATTTCTTTTGATTATGAAAAATCAGGACAACACAAAACTTCTGACTTGGACGCGGTTTACACGGGTCTGGACAAATGTTTAAACGGACAAAAACTTGCACGGATCCGCCTTTCGTTTATGCGGGAGCCGCGGAACCGTGCAAGTTCTTGAACGGCAAACAATGTAACAGAATTTGCACGGTTCCGTGTAAGCGGATTGCAAAGATAAAAAATGCGTTCGCTCAAACTTTATCCCGACCCGTGTAAACGGCGTCTTAGTTCGTAAGAAACACTCGCAGTTTTGAGGGTTACAACGTTATTTAAAAGACTTCAATAAACCGGAAACCACAAGTAAAAAGGGGACTGTTCAAAGGACGTTCACAGCCTCTCTATTCTTTTTAACGCAAAATAGAAGGAACGAAGGAATAGGGGTAAGGCGCGGGTACGCAAGAAATTCGTGCACGGCTTTGACACTCGCCTGAGGTTGCGTGTTCACACCGATCGCTATGGGCAGTCTACGTCATCTTGGATAGAATCTAAATAGTCTTCGATACTTCAAAAACGCACGTCTTCACACTCAAGGCCCCAGGGCATTTTCAAACCTCTCCTTCCTTGTCCCTTTATACAAATTGAACTGGAGAATTGGAACTTCTTGTACCAAAAAACTGAACTGCGTGGATGTAAGCGAATGAGCTTCATTCCAGAAGTTCAGGTTGAATTCTTAACCTTTCAACCGTCTCTTCGGGTAGGCAGTAAACGGGATTAACTGGCTTAATTTCAGATGATCCTAGTAACGCTAAACCGGTCAGACCAAACAGCGTGTGAAATGGATCCACCTGTCAAAAACATCGTCAAGTGTTAGTAGATAAAGGCAATATTTTCACGGTTAAGCGGATAATATGGTTAGTATTAAGATCATGAGCAACACTACTGTGGTTAATACTGAAGCTTTATGCTTTATCCACTTTTGTCCTAAATCTTCATTATTTATTCTTATTACCCACTTAAGGGTGAGTAAGGCCAGCTTTTTTAGAAACTAAGGCCTCGTCCACACGTATCCGAATATTTTTTGAGCAAAAGGCGATTTTTTTACTCCGTCTTGATCTTCCGTCTGCACATAAACAGGCGTTTTCGGCACCAAAAACGTACGTAGACTGTGGTTTTTCATGTTAAATTTATTTCAGAAAACGTCTAATATTCACTCATTCAATACACGATCGTCTACGTCTGGAAAGTTCTATGTTAAAAGTTCTAGACTAGAAATACAAAACAATTCTTTCTCTCGGCTCGGAGTAAAGCAGTAGAATAAGATACCACGCTATATAACGGATCTTCCAAAGAAAGCTTACAAAAAAAGTTCTCCGCAAATCGCTACTTGATATCTTAGAAAAGGAGGATGACTTATATGCAAATTCCCATGATTATTAAAAAAGTGGGTACATAGATGCACTTGCGAAAGGCTTTAATGTCTGCTTGCCTTTTTTTGTGTTAACATTTAAGAGTCAGTGACTCCTTGTCTTAATGCATTGTACGTCAGTAAGCGCTGTGTTAATTAGATCACTTAACTTCTGTGTTTTATTTATTTTTAGTAGCAATCTGCAAGGCTTTCTAATAGTTTAAGGTTTTTGTTTTTAGTAGATAATTGCGTTATTGATGTACTTGTCTTTCCCCGCCACGAACTAGCTTTGCAGCTATTTGCGGGGCAAACTATCCAACTTTTGTATTTTTGTACAAAGAAAAAAGCTGTTACATTATACATCATACAGCGCATGCCATGTAAGGGATGCTATCGTACTTCCATTGTCTTAGCGTTTTCGTGTGAACGGGCGAAAACGATTAGAATAAGCCTTGTGTGGAGGAGTTTTTCCAAAACGAATAAAAAAATCTCCGTTTTCAAAAATATCCGGACACGTGTGGACGAGGCCTAAGAATCTTCAACCCGCGTGACTCTGTCTTACACAAATTCAACTACGGAGTAGTGAGCAGTCGATTTCAGTTTCATGGGGAAGATTCAAAGTGAAAATGGCTGGAGTCTATAAAGATCAGACAGCCTCTACATGCAGACTTCTAACCAGCCAATACTTGCAAAACTTTTACTTTTAGCTTGGGGGCAAGTGCCAAACGTTATGCGCTAGCATGTGATCTAATCATATAGACCATTTTCGATATATTAATATTCATACTTGGTTCCGAGGCTTGGGGGAATAAAACAAAAGGCTCACCAATGAATAAATCATTTCTTTTGTTTTATTCCCCAAGCCTCGGAGCCAAGTATGAATTTTAATATATCGAAAATGGTCTGTTCCGTACGTTCTTCATCCCCCTTCCCCCGCCCCCTGAAAAGCGTGATGCTCATCCCTGGGGTACTCCCATATATGGGTTAGACAGGTATGTGCCGGCCGTTAGGGTATGTTTTTTGGGGTATCGAACCTTGAAAAGGGTATCATTTTTGCCCTTGTTAGCATTGTGTTCCTGGTGTGATCCTTAGATAGGGTACCTATACTGTATCAGCTAAAATTCAAGGGCATAAATGCCCAGCTACACGAGGAACAAATCATCTATTAAAACTGAACTATCCTTAAGAGTATTAGGAACAGTATTACTTCCCGCGCCATTAAATTCTTAGCTTTTATTTTTTCCTTTGAATGAGATGTCATTTTTCGGGTTTGGGCCTTGAATAGGGTATCGATTTTTGTTTGTCTCATCCTTTAATAGGGTCCGGGCTTAAGACCCAGGACGCACACACAAATCCAAAATTTATTGGAGTACCCCTTTACCCTGCTGCGCCCCTGGGATGCTCATGGTAAACTGTCATATTTGTGCTCCACCCAGGGACACCAAAATGGTGAAAAATTTTTCTGAATACCACATGGACCTGAATCTTGGCGAGATTATTTACATAAGGCATTTTCTCAATTGATCGACTGCAGCATTAAGGCTCCGTGGACCCGGAGATTGGAGATTGTTTGAATCTGCAGTCTTTTCGGGACACATTTTTGAGAAAGAATTTTTTATTCCCCCTTTCTTGAGTGTCTTTCGTGTTATGTATGTCATGCTTAAGGGCTTAAAGGCCCGACTTTATTCAGGGTCCAAAGTTTATCGATAAAATACGGTATTTATCTCCTATCATATCTCAGTTTCTAGACTTCAAATCTATGTCATAGGCTCAGCTGTTTGACTCCCTGACAAGAATTTTCCGGCAAAAGGTTTCGAAAAGGGTCTATACATCTATAGATTGAATATAAGATAAAAGAATACGAAGTTGTCTGAAAACGACCCATAAACAAGGAGAACGACAACGAGTAGGAGATTTTCTCAATCCTTGGTAGTGCGCACCCATAAATCAGCGTCATTTTGGCGGGAAAACGTGGTAGTCGTCGTCATTCTACTACAAGTTTTAGCGAGAACCTGGCGGAAACAAGTTATTAAATACTAGAAGTTTTATCATTTTGCCATCAGGAGAGGGCTTAAACTCCTTCGATAAAGTTATTAGTGCTAACTTTTCTGGTGAAAAAAAGTACAATGAAGCTTGCCGGGGTGTCTATTATTTGAGAATACGCAAAAAAACTTTAAGGCAAATCCTGTCCTCGAAGTCGTTCTGTTCCTCGAATCTAAAGCCAGTTTACAGCTAGATTTTCTTTCCAAGGTCAGTAACAAAAGTTCAAGAAATTGTGACTCTTACCATGTCACCAGGTCTGTCGGCAAATCCACCCGTTTCCTCGTCTTGGCAGGCAAGGACATAGCTCCGTAACTTGTCCTGAAACAAAGCAGCAACATTATAGTAATCCTCACTTGAATCCTAAAATGTGACGGTTTTCTACGATCGCATCTAAGGATCACTCATCCCGCCTGATCGTCAGAAACGCCACATACAAGTAGATAGCAAAAATATAAGTGCGCCTGAAAAATATGTTTGTGCGAGGACTTTTAAAACGTTCATCCGTCAAAAACGATTCGTTAAGTGGAGAGAAAGCAATAGAAGTTATATCGCTCAGAGACAATGACCGAAGAATCATAGCCATTCTCGTTATACCGTGTTATGTATTTTACAATAGCAAATTTCTGAGTGCCTTGCAGGGGGCAGTATAGAAAGAAATAGCCTTTCCATAGACGTCTTTTCTTATTTCTCGACGACTTTTGCGCGCGCGAAGGGCAAGAAATTTATCCACCCCCGCCTCACTGTCCCAGCGGTCAACAAATCCCCCGCGGTTTTTATATTTATATGCGCGCTCAGCGATCTCTAAAGGCTAAAAACGGGACAAAAATCTAACATCTTTTTGCTTGTTAAAAGACCCTCTAACTTCAAGTTTTTTTCACCAATTTTTTACTACCAAGGAAAAAAAACTTAAATGATGTTTAGTTTGAGATTTATCGTTAGTTCTCGATCTGCTGGTTACATCACTTTCATGTAATGAGAATTCCGCTCTGCGAGAGCATTAATCTCAGGAATTTTACCTTGTCTATCCAGTGTAACTTGCCAATGATTTTAAGCGACGCTAATACCCACCAGGAGTAGCATACATCTGGGAGTTTTTCTGGCCGACCTGTAATAATCACAACAACAAAAACGCACATGAACGCAGCTACCCGACCGTCCGTCGCTCTTAGAACCACGACTGAGAGATGAACAACAATTCAGTCCCCCTGTTCAAGTGGCCCAAAAGGTAAATAGCACTATGCACTAATGAATCCTTATCACGTGGATTCACAAGACGTCACGGCGGAGTTGAACTCTTTTCTAAGGTAAACGCTTTCTTTTGTTCCATGCAATAAATTTACATAGATGCCGGCCACGTGAGTGAAAACGCTCTGTTATGGACTTGGGACAATTTGTGCGGCCCAGCATCACAGCCTGGCAAAATGATACTTAAATAACCTTGTCTCATACGTGAATAGTCCAATTTCGAAAGGCGTGTTTCCAAGCCCTTTATAACCACATTGAAGACATTAGGGACCTTGAGCAAAGACGTTTTTTAGCGACGTACGTCAACCGGAAAAGGACTTTTCGCATTCTGGGGAAGTGGTTGAGCCCAAATGTTCGGGGCAAATTGTCTCTTTAAGAGTAAAGACACTTCGCAGTACAAATTTAGTAGTGTTAAGGCATATTAGAAGGAGAAAAGCCTCATTTCCGGTGGACTTTGTTTAAGCTCCTTATTTTTAAAATATCCCTGCGTCATATTAATATCGTTTTAATTTAACATTTGCCATTACTTTTCATTCGCAGGTGATGAAAAAACAACCTTTGGATTTTCAAATCATATTGAAAATAGACCAACTTTCCTGTCAGGAAACGTAAACACAGATACATTTCTAGAGGAAGTGCTTAAATCTTTAGTTTCAGTTTTAATTATTCCAGTGCGCCAAACTGGCAAAAATTCTCTGCTAATACGAATTTCAAGACGGATTTCCGAATAAACCCTTTACCGTGTGATTTTCTGGTTGTTTCTGACAGGAAAATAGGCAGATAAATTTAAGACACGCCTGACACGCCCTTGACCGGATTCGTATCAGAGGCGTTTCCTGTCTCAGACGATCTTCCGGTCTTCTTCGACAGGAAGTCGAAAACAAGGGAAGTTTCAAACCCAGAGCATGCATTTTCCTGTTTTGACTACCATTTTTTTTTTTTAAAAAAAGAACATTATTCTCAAAAACAACACACAGTTTCATCTGACACGCACATAACGGTCGAGAAGTGGGTTACAAAACGAGGCGCAGCCGAGGCTTTAAAGAGCAACTTGGATATCAGATGCTACATTAGCCTGCGAAAACATCCGTTTCTCCTCGCTCTCCGCCGTTGGGGACGTTTCGCGCAAAACGTCCCCAGCAGCGAAGAGCCGGGAGAAACGGATGTTTTCGCAGGCTAATGCTACATCGAGTGACGTAATTCATATACAGCTTCCCTAATGAGCCATAATTCTTTCGAATTCTCAAAAAAATGAAAGCTTAGTTTTGCAAATTTTGGAAGTTTTTTGGTATAATGCAGAAACTATTGTTGGATCGTTTTCAGTTTAATGTATTGCGTTATTTGGTGATTGCAATCGTCCGCACCCAAGTTTCTACCTTACCCAAGATCAAACATGGCGACCACACACAACAAACTAACTAAGCTCTGTAAGCTCTCGTCTGCTAAAACAAAAATGCTCACACTACAAGCTAGGTGACTTTCTCCCAAGGCGTACTTCTTCGCAGAAAAAAAATCCGAGAAGCCGTAACGTCAGAGGAAAGAACCACGAATGAAGTTGTGCATGCAGGCTTATTTCATTGAAAAAAATATTGGCTGATACCGCAAATCTGCCTCCTTCTAACCTGCCATCCTGAAGGCTTTCTTTTTGGGGGGAAAGCGCGAAAGTCAACGGACGGAGAAAAGGGAAAACAAAAAGGGACACAGGGCCGCCTGATCTCAGGTTAGCCTCCTTCTCAAACCAATGTCATAAATTAACGTCCAAATAACTCACGGGCTACTGATCATGTGCCTTACTGAGCTTAGGTCACCTGGATCCTAGCAGGCGTGAGAGAAATTTGGGCGCAAAAACCAACTGCGGCGCTGGACACGAGGGATGAAAAGGCGCGCGAGGAGAGAGGAAGTTCCTTGCGCGTGTCCCCCACTCCCGCGTGTATCACTCTTGCATCCCATATTCCACTTATGCGCCTGCCAGGCAGCGCCAGGCAGGTAAGCGTTATAGTAAAGCATTTTGATCGCAAACCTTGCTCTTTTCGGTTATTAGTTTACCATTTAATCCGCCAGATGGAAGCTGTCTTTCACAAAGCCACCAACCCAACATATCAGCATTAACATGATGCAGAGAATCAGCAATGGCCAGAGCTCCTAGACAGCAATAAATCTGAAAAAACAAGCCACTAAACATAAACACAAATACATTAACATTTAACCACAACACCTTCCTGAGTACAAAAAGAAAATCAAACGCTTCCTAAAGCTGTAACGTGAGAAAATCGCCGAAATAGTAATGGTAGGACAAATGAGAGTTTATTGTCGTTTCGCCTACAAGTCGTTCCGCTATCGTTCTGTTCGCTTACGTCGTAAGTCGTTTCGCCAAGGTGTTAGGTCAGTTCGCTAGAGTTTTAAAAAGGTAGTTTCGTTAACGCCTTGTAAGTCAGCGAGTCGTGGACTGAGAAAAAAATGTCGTCTATGAAGTAAGATTGTCACTCGCGAAGAAAAACGGGGGAGTTTATGTGCGAGCAAGCGTCGAAAGGCGAAGCCACGAGACGCTAGAAACGAGGGCAGAGGTAGTCTCTTTTTTTTCGTGCCTCTCCCGTCTCGCGCCTTCAGGTCACGCGCGTGGTCATTTTCGTGTCTCCCGCGTTTCGCACGACGGACTAAGAAAAAAGATAGACTGCTCGTAGTCTAGAAAACGTCAAAAGCATAACACCCCATGACAGCCTGAACGCCTCTCCAGAGTGCCATCAGCATCAAGAGTCTGACTTGCTGCTTTTGTTGAAGAAAAGAGAGAAAGAAACACAGACATGATCCCCAGAACAGAAAGGGCAGTGATTTTGTTACAAATGTTATGGTGAGTCCTGGGACTCATCTTGTAAAAAATCATGAGTCCCAGTCAATAACCAGTGAGTCCCATGTAAAAAAACGAGTCGAAAATTGAAAATGCTTGGGCTTTTATGTAACCAGACAGTTTATCTGAAGACAGACTCTGTATTACAGTATACTGAAATCAAAATATAGTCCTTCAATTTTAAATCACAACAAAGGCTAAACGACATATGTATCATTAAACAACAGCCATAATAACCGCCACAGAAATTACAGGAACGAGACGCATGCCATGACTTATTTTGCATCTTTTTATGCATCAGGCACGCAGGACGCAGAGGTAAGAAAATCACTGAAAGGAATAAAAAAATGTAAAATAAAATGATGAATGACATTGGAAATTGACCAGGCACCATCATACCTGCCCTGAGTGTGATTCTGATCCTGGTCGACATCCAAAGCCACCATCGAAATTCATACAGGACAATATGTAATCTACAGCTTTCTGCAGGTCTATAGCATCCAGATGACCCTAAACAATATAGATGATAAAAAAGAAAAAAAATTACCACTGAATATGAACCTTATACAAATCCACGTAAAATCTTCCTACAAGCCCAGGAATAATGATGATGATGATGATGACAATGATAATGGCAGATTCTTTATGATTTTTAAATAATTATTAGATGAGGTTTTTGATATCTCGAAGCAAGGTCAAGGTAAGTGTTATCAGCCAAGCCAAAAGCCAAGACTGATAACACTTATTGAGACCTTGATTATTTAGGATATCAAGAAAACTGAATCTAATAATTGTTTTATAATACATTGTTTTGAAGAAACTGAAGACAAACACACCATCGCAAGGAACCTGAATTGATATTGTTATTGGAAAGCATGCATTGCGCGTGCAACCTAAAGATTAGTCAGTTATCTGCTAGCAAACAGCTAACTAATCTGTAGGTTACACTGATTTCCAAAATAAGCTGTAGGCTCTTAGCCAATGAGAAGACAGATAATGTGTACAATGTATAATAATATATAATATGTGTCTGGAATTACCAATAGTTTCAAGCTTGCAATTGCACAAAATGAAAACCTGGTATCTACTTCACCTAGGAATGAAAAATAAAGAAAATAAATATTAAGAACTAACACAGCACACAAAATAGAGGTAAGATGCATATGTTATCAGGAAACATGGCACAGTGAAGCAATATGTTAATCCATTGTAAAGTTAGTCCAAAATTCACTTATTGAAAGTTGGTAGGACTCTTAATATTTTATGCCTGACAATTGATCAGCTGTTATCTGCAGATAATCATCTCATAGTACGGCCTGCCTGACTCAACAAAATTCAGAGACAAAATTCTGCCCTGCAACATTTTTATATAAATTTCGTCCAATGTTATGCCCAGAGAACCTTTTATTTTGTATATGTGTTACATGTCAAAATTACATTCACACAGGTTAAAAAGTTTTAACCTAGGTTGATTCTCAATAACCTTTGTATCCTATTTCCAATTTACAAATAATCACTGGTTAGGAGACATGGAGGAATTTGAGAATCAACTGAAAATGAAAAAAAAAATTCAACCTGAATTTATTTTTGACCTGTAACATAAAGGTAAGAACTTTATTTTAGCATGATAAAAAGATCAGCATTGCTGGTGGGGTCATATGTATCCAAGTATGTATCCAAGTCCAAGTTCACTTCACAGATTATTAACAGTGAAATTGTTAAGAGATTTACAAAAGTGCTTCAGGTTCTGTGATTGTATACTGCTTAATTGATAAAACAAGCTCCAAGACATCTGATGCAGTCTTTTAAAAGGTTAGCAATGTCTTCTAAACTCTTGAACATAGTCCTAATCATTTTCAGAATATCCATTCACCAATTGCTCAAAATGAAAAAAAAAAAGGAGATTATATTGTTATTAACATACCCCACTTGTCACCAACAAAAGATCCATCTTCTTGTTGAAGCTTGGATACATATTCCACTGCCTTCTCAACATTTATTTTCTCAATACAATCATAAAGAGACATAACCTAATAAAGTAAATAAAAAGCTATTCAGTATTCTTCAGTTGATAGTTTTTTGGGGGGTCTGACTCTGGAAAATAAACGCAACTTTATTTTGAAGACTTCTTCGCACCTCTTTCCTGGCTTAGATTTTTACCACAAAGAAGTTCTTGTGGTACAAAAATCCTACTCATGCAAAGACAGAACTTCTTGCGGTTTTCAATTCTAACAACAAAGAAGTTTTTCCTTCTTGCAGGATTCAAGCACAGGCACCCTGCAAGTAGAAAGGTTGCGGACGCAAAAAGAACTTCTTGCTCATGCATTACGTTTGGGCTGTGCTGTATATATACCTGAATTGCACTTAGGGTGTAAAGAAGATGGGAATCGTGGTTTTGACTTGCTCCAAAGCCTCCATTGTCATGCTGACAAGACTGGACAAATTGCAGTATTTCATCTTTTTCCATCATGTCCTGCTTGTTCATAAGGAACATGGCAGTGAGACCCCAGTAAACGCCACTCATTCGAAGATATTCCGTTATGCAGTACTCCTACAGAATTAAACCAAAATAAGCAAGCATAAGGAAACATTACAACTACATATGGAAATGTCTTACTTTCAGTTCAGTAAATTTTAAGGATCCATAGATTAACCATTGCAGTTCCTTGTCTGAATTTACATTAATAAAGTGCATGACTTACATGTCAACACTCCACAATTAATTATTAAGAATGCACAGTGGATTGGTATGGGTATTTTGTAGTATACCAAAGTAACTCTGAAATTTAATTATTAGGGTTGACCAAGAAACCTTGTGAATCACATTCCAGTTAGAATCATTATACAGGGTGTACTGCACTGGATTGGAACCTGACTTACTTACTAGCGCTAATCACTACACTACAAAGTCATTTAGGAACTCAATGGCCATTAGTTCCCCTGCAAACAGTAGCGTAAAGAAATATAACCATTGGCTAATGCTCCACTTTACAGGGAGGTAGTTCGCTAAAGGGTTAGCCATTTCAAACTCTAGCACAAACAGAGGACTTGTAATATTTCACTTACATAGTCATCTTTTTTCTTCCCATATGCTGCAATGAAATCAGCATGTTTGCCCAAAAGCAAATCCTTAGGAGAGTTGGGTGGGATTTTAACATCTTTCACTTGCGATCCCTCACAATGAGACAAAAAAAATTAATGTTAATTAACTTTGCACTGGACTTGAAAAAAGGGCAAGTTCATTTATCTGCGAACACACAAATAACTTGCATGAAAAAATGCATTAGTATAACTGAATAACTCATAGTAACTGGCATTTCAGCAGTATCAGTTTTGTTCCCGGTGTTTTGGATCCACTGCTAACACACCCACTTTTGAACTGTCAGCCACAAATAATTTACAGTCGAACCTCCACTAAAAACCACCTCTCCACAATGGCCACTTTTTTTGTCCCGGCAGACAGTCGATACATTGACTCTTGTTTAAATCTCTCTGCAACAGCAATGGCCAACTCTCTACAACTGTCAAAATAACCTCAGATCCCAATATATGGAAGACAACCTATAATTTTGCAGGTTGATATATCCCACCAAATTTCCTTCTACGCATGAATGAGTGAATGAATAAATGTATATCCTTTATTTAAACACGATTAGGCTTAAAGCAATAAAGATGCTTGAGGGGTCATCTGTACTAGTCTATCATAAAACAAGAAAAATTATATTAAATTTATACCTGACTATTGAGATTAGATGAACTGAGTTTCAAATTTTTTTTGTGACGTCTAAACCCAAAGTTCACAAGTACTAAGCTTACATGACGATTAATTTTGAATTAACAATCTGTATGCCACCCTCGCGTGACTAGTTAAGGAGAGGAGTAATTTTAAAGAACAATTATAATTATCCTCTTCAGTTGTGCAGTTCAAAAAGCTTTGAAATTACAGTTTAGTTTTTCTTACCATTGTTTTTCACAAAAATGCACAAAACATCATTCCCTTCTGCGAAAAAATTCACTCCCAGAAGGACGCCATCTTGAAAAATAATTCCGCTGGTCAGGTGTCATGTGAGGCTCATTTCTCGGGAACCACCGGCGCACAAGCGGTGCACCCGGTGTACCGGATATCACACCGGACAGTACAGAGGTCGAGGGCGCCGCCCCTGACGGGTGCCACCCTTTGTAATCCCCGAGACTCAAGTAGTCTTCGGTAGCCGAAAGTGTTGCTGAATCGATCGAAGAAGAGTCAAGCGGATTTTACGATTTAACGTTAGTCAGCCAGCAAGATATAATGGGCAAAATCTGTCATCAACGCGAAGCAGTCTTTTAGAATTCCGTCCCTGTTGGAATTTGACGGGAAGCTCCTGTAGTATGTTGCCCCCGCCCCCCCTCCCCTTCATAAGAATTTTTTTGGGCATAGACTGGTCACAGTCCCCTATTTTTTCGTGGGATCGTTTAGATATACCGCGTCTTACCGCCACGGCTATCTTGATTTTCAATGTACCGAGGGGGCGGGCGCCGGGGATTATAGCTTTAGGTGATGTAAGGGAGGAGGGGGGAGGGGGAGGGGGCGAGAAAAATAGAGGGACTGTAATAACATCATTGCAGCCCGCGTTCACGGAGCGCGTTGTACCAGCAACGCAGGCGTTTGATTGGTCATTAGACAATGGATGTTAATTTGCGTTGACAACAGCTTTAGTTTCAGTTGCCGACACACTGACAAGTCGTTGACAAGTCGACGTTTCAATAAAACGTTCGTTTTCATACAATAAGGCACATCCTGCGCAAACACACGAAGGATTTTTGATATTTTGGCATTCTGGTAGGCTTTTTGCATCATTACAAATGCCGTCACAGCAAAATTTGAAGGAATTTTTTGGTACCCCCCCCCCTTTAAAAAAACCACTATTTTTTATTCTGACTCCCCCTTTAAAGCCATTTTTATCATGCCCCCCCCTCAAATCCCACCAGCCCCCCTCCCTCCCCACTACCTGATGAAAAATGAAGGATCCCTGAGTGAAACTAAAAAAGTCACAAAACATTTTTGGTATTGAATAAATTTAATACTATTTTTGTCAGTAATACATGTTTTTGTACACGAGTAAGTCTGTCTATTTATGAAGGGCCACGATATGTTCGATGAAAATGGAAAAAAAAAATTGCGGCTAATAATTATGCCCTCCTTTGAGTTCACACATTCTAACATTGACATATTCAGCAAGAACCTTACTATCATCAGCATCATGTCGGAACACATTTTTGACCAGGCAACAGCTGAAGATGTGGTGCTCGGTAAGCTCAAATGTTTTGAATTTTTCCATTGTTTATTTGCTGTGTGTGTTGTCCCGCCAAAATTAGCTTGATTAAGCCAGCACTAGATTTAGACCTACCAATTTACTTAATTTAACAACGTTGCTGTTATTGATGATCCGGGAACAGTCCAATTCATGTAGCCCGCTCAAACAAGGTCAATGTCTGACAATACGCTCAATAATTCAAGATATGGACGAGCATGGAAATACTCGGGTGGCATCAACATTACACAGACCGCTTTGCGTCGTTGCCGTAATAAAGGATTTAACCAAACTTTAACTCTTTCTTCACTGGTCGCCAGCTGGCTAAAATGTACCTGCCTGCTCGTTGGTCCATCGTCATCTCGAGTGAATTCAGACTTCCTTCGCCGCCAAAAACACAGCAAAAATCTTCTCCAAGTCTTTGCTCTCTGTGGCCGCGGCATTGTGGAATAAACAATACATTCAGATGTATTCCAAATAAACAACAGAACTAGAAGTAATCCTCGTGCCAGAGTACAAGAACGCTCGTTGTGATTAAACGCCAAATGCGGAGGGCCAGGCTTACTACAAGGGAGCGGTTTGTTTTCTTTTGCGAAAGGTTGTTTTTCGAGGTATTGCCTTGTTTTGACACAAATAAACCGGAGCATGTTTTCCTTACTTTTCAATAAATAGAGTGAAGTTTTTTTTGTTTTTGTGGATTGTTTTTGTCCCTTGGATTAAAAACATTAGTTTTGATTGGTGACCGATTTTGCTAAACCTAATTTTGGTCGACATGAGTTCGTCACAGTTCGTCATGACTGCAGGATCAACAGCCTTGATGACGTCGTTGACCATCCTCGTCTCCAGGGCAACCAAACCCAGAAAAGCACGGGCGGTTCGTTGTAAACAAATGAAGAAAACTGACCATTTACCAAGAAATTCCGAAAATTCCGGGTGGTATGTTAATGGCACACAGGTTTTCCGGGCGTTCCACTGGAAAGTTCCCGGGAATAAGTGGAATTTTTGAAAAGGTCGTCCTGCTTTCCCGTTGGAAATACAGAGGAGAAGTGTGACGTCACGTTACCATGGTAGCACTATTTCTGGATGACAACAAAACCAACGATGACGGCGACGGCAAGGAGAACGGCAAAAAATGATATGTTTATATTAACAAACTACAACTTTGCACGTGCATCACGCTATTTTGTACATTTCTTTGCCGTCGTCACACCACTACAACATGAAACTTCTTAATTTCACGAGTCCGCTTTAAGGAGTAGGTGAACACAACACAAAAATTATCGCTTTCTTTTTCTAAACTTAGATAACGATAGATACGGTCCCAAAAAAAGTAACGCCAAGATTTGCCAAATTAAATGAAATTGAATAAGAGCGTTGAAGTTTAAATTATCGCTTTGTTATCATCCAAAAATTTTGCTACCGTGGCAACGTGACGTAACGACTCTCCTCTCTATTTTCCGGTGGAAAGCATGTTCCATTAGGAGTTTTCACAAGGCATCACTAGTTCCAGGCTATTCACGGCAATATCTGTCCCACAAATGGAACTTGTGTCAAATGAACACGTCCTTCACTCGATGGACCTTTCCGTGGGAGTTTCCGAAAGTTTTTTGGCAAACGGAAAACGCCACAGGAAACGAATCTGAGACTAAAAACGTGGTACAATATCTACATTGCTCTAATAAAATGAATGAGTTGCAGAAATACTAGCAACGGCGAGACAACGTCAGTGAAGAAGAGGAGGGCAGTTCATGATTTGCACTAACATTTTCCGCTGGCTATTTACAGTGTTAAGTTTATATGGCCTATATGCGAAATACTTATTTTTCGTGTCTTTTCGGGTTGTCGCCTTAGACTGTATTCGCAATCAACGATTTTATTAATTATTCATTGACTAAGTTACACCTTTGTAACCCAAACTGTAATAAAACAAAAGAGCTGCATATATAAAATTGTTCATAAGGACTTCTTATAACTCAAGTGTCGACTCAGAATGTCTACCCAGCCTGTTCCGCGCAAACAAGACCACGAAAGAGAGGACCTCGATAATGATGTAGGAATTGGACTTCGATCGTCTTGTGCCTGGCTATCCACCTTCTCGTTGTTGTTCCAGTTTTTTCGCAAAGTGAAATGGACTGTATAGTCAAGTTCTCCTGAACTATCCGTACTCGTTCTCTCTATCATCAGAAACAGAGACAGAACCTCTCCTTTGTTCTTAGCAATTATTCGATAAGTCTTAGTATCATCTAAAGAATCATGGTGTCCTGACGTTCTGTCCGCCGTAAAAGGGAGATGAACGACGATCATTCAATAGCCCCTAGACTGGCATCTCGAAGCACGGCAAAGAACACTGGTTTGACGTATGTTTCATCAGCAGATAAACTCCAGAGGTGCAGATGGTTAGTCCGTGGGAGGACCTTCTCCAATCTCATAAAAGAGACTTCGTACATCCAACATTGAGGCGAGTTCAAGAACTTGCTTTTCTATACCGCCGTTGAGTAAGATCTCCGCAGGCAGCTTGGGGAAGCTCTTGGGATAGTAGTCTGAGCCCTAAATTGAGAACGTGGAATGACTTATCTGCACACAATGAATGATACACTGTAAATGGGACGCCAATACTTAGGGAGGGAACGTGCTTATTTGAAGGGGCGCTATTTCGTCCGTCAATTTTCCACCTCGGTAAGATTTTTAGTAATAAGTCCCTTGCATCTAGTTGTTCGAGTGGTACAAAACGGGCTTGCTGGAGAGCAAGAGATGCAATGGGAGAAGACAAACAAAGGAAATTACCACTTTAAATGATGTAAGCTCTTTGTTTGTCTTGTCCTAGTGCGTCGCTTGCTCTCCAAAATGTCGGTTTTGTACCACGTGAATGACAAGCTGCAAAGGACCAGCCCTGAAGGACCTATCATAAAATGAGGCTGAGTACTCAAGAATGATACAGATCTCGGAGGGTCTCCATCTGCATAATGCTACACTTCAACGTCCTGTTAGTTTCAATAATCTTACAATCTTACCAATCCTACCGAATTTCTGTCTTACTATCCTTCGCGTCATACTCCAAAGATTTATTGTATGTGTTCAAGGGAACCCTTCATGCTCTCTAGATGCCGGTTATGCGACTTTAAACCGAATATTAAATGAAAACACGAGGGGGCAGGGATTTTTTGAAGCCGGGGTGCTAAGTATAAATTCGAGCGTCTTTTGTATGTGAAGAAAACTTGACAAAACAGAAAAAAATGCGCTACTTTGCATGCAAGAAGGCCCGTTTTTTTGAAGAATTTTTCCTCCCGAGACGCCCCTCACTTTAGAAGTTTTTGATGGAGCAGGTATCATTTTTTTTTCTCTGAATAAATGTTGGTAGCCATTCTTTTTTAACCCATCTTTTTGAACGCGCTATTTTTTCAATAAATGGAAGGGCAGGTCACTGAGGTGGAACAGAAGGCCACTGTTACGAAAAATAACCACTGTTCTACTTCATTGGCCACAACAATCAGAACAATGACCTGCTGGTTCTAAAACAATGAAAAGATGCATGGAATCGGAAAATATCCTCGCTACTCAGTCTTCTCAAAAATATTAACCTCGCGCTGCGCGATCGGTGATTATCTTATCGGTCAGGTATTATCATAAACATATCACTATTTAAGGAACCCCGCCACTTCCACTTGCGCAACGATACCTTGAATGCTCGATGAAGATGCATGGTGTAAAAACAGAATACAAAACGAATAATCATCAAACGAAGAAACTCGTCATCAAGAAGCTGAAGGAAGGCTAGATCTGCAAGAAAAAAAGAAAGACTCATCTTAATGGATTTTCCGTTTACAAAGCCATTCAAGATCGTTCTTCAACCTGTGTCCCCATTTCGCAACTTCAAAAAAATTAGCCACGATCCACGCAAACGTTCCTAGGGCTTCGTCACGAGTTTGTTCTAAGAAATCTAGGAGCTTTTCCTTTTTAGGAGACTTTTCCTGACTCTTCTAAAGTCTCGCGCTAAATTTCTCAAGGTTCAAAGCCGTACACATCCCAGATCTCGAAGTGTGCTGTGATCGGTCTACGTTTTTAACCTCTCGTTTTCGCAGTCGTTCGGAAAAGGTCCAGCGAGGAGACCCATTAGTGAGTTTAAATAACAGATGTTGTCCTTCGAGTTGTCTTCTTGCTATGTTTTTATACGATAGTTCGTCGTGAATCGAGTGAAATGTTCCGCCGACTGTTCGGCCATTTTTCTTTTCACAACCAAAATAACTCAACCTCGTCCCCAGGTCTTCTCGGTTAATGGTGCATTAACCTCCAACTGTGCTGCACTTTTGACATCATCGGTTGATTAATCACAAAATTCTTCCAAATTTGGTCAACAGTAGCTGGAGAAATATTTTGAATGGACAACAAAAGCATTTATAAGTTTGTAATGAACCTACAATTCAATCACCTGCCTGTCAATTAAAGTTGCAATGAGCTAGTGATTTGATTTGGTTAGCAATCGAATTACCAATACTGATGCCGCCATTCGAAGGAATCACGACAAGCAGCAAGACAGTCGACTTAAAACAGTTCTTAGACAGTCCTAGAGCATGCGCAGTCGACTTACCAACACATCGTGACCAGTCGTAAAACACTCGAAGACAATCGTTCATGATTCGTCGAACTTGTCGGTGACAGCTATCCCACAAGTCGCTGCGGAGATCAGCGATGCTACAGACATAACAAAAAGCCACCAATGGACTAAAGAGGAAGAGCGAGAATAAACTTCCCTTCCGAGTTTGCTCTGGAAAACAATGATCCAAAGAAAGAGTTATACAGCCTGAGTAGTGGAAACTCGATAGTACTATCATTAATCGTCGACTACAACCAAACTGGAATTAAGCGTACCTCTATTAAGCAGTCGCCCTTGAAATAACTAGAGTAGAGAGGGTACTGCCTTTTGTTTCATCTATTTAATCGACCTTCTAGTGCTTTAACTGAGTAGACTCTTGTGGCACGTAAAAGGACCACACTGGGCATAAGATTCTCTGGCAGTGACCACCCCTGAGGTCTATTTCCAAGCAATACTGACTTTTATTATATCTCTCTGTTGGTGTACGCACTGTGATTAGTCAGTTTAGTGGGTCAGTCGTATTTCACTGTCAAACCGTAAAGTCAAAAGTTTGCTTTGCTTGCGATTATTGACAGAGAAACTATATTGTAAGGCTTTCGTTTCAAGTAGTTTTGGACTATAAAGGATGTGCTAAATGTTAAATGAATGTTTTTGACAATTCAAAGTCACGATTTTTGCGAAGCTCACAACCGTTCCGCTTGAACCGAAAAATGCGACGTCCTCTCAGTCTCTATTTAAACCCAGAGATTTAAATATAAATCTTACTAGCCTCGTTTTCTCGATCCGCAATGTAAATCACGGAACCTTGTGTTTTCCACTTGGATATATTGCCCAAGCGCTAAAAAAACTCGGTCGGGAGAACTTACAGCACGGACCTCGAACTCGTTTAGAGAGCTACGTAATTTGGTATTCGCCTATTAGCGCCGAAAGTGTTTGAAGTGATCTAAATCTTTATCTAAATCTTAAATCTATCGCTTGAAAAATGCAACAAGGATTGATGCAGTTTCAAGTACGAGCACTAACGTATTTACCTTGCATCGTCGTGGGAACTGTTATAGGCGACATCAAGGAGATAAGCGGCTGCCCAAACAAACTTGGAAAATACTGCAAGTGAAAGCAAAGTACGGTCAAACTATTTTTAGCCGGAGACAAGTAAAGCTGCCTCGAACTGGAAACTAGTTTAGCGAGAGATAAGCGTCTACTCAAAGCGTAAATAAAACCGACTGGTTCTTTCTTGCCGGATCTCTAATGTAGAGATGCTAGAGCCAGGCGTCACTTGAAGTTGAAAGTAAAACAAAACTGAAAGCAAGGCTGGCAATACGGTAAAGGGCTGATTTATTTGTCTGTACTATGAAACCGCCAGTGACTGATTCGTTAGAATGCTGGTTGCCCTGTGGTAACAAATGTATTCTCCGCGAAATATGAGCAGATTTAGCAGTAGGGGTGCGACGCTTCGGCCACAGCACGCGTTCCGACGTTTTTTTTGAGCGACGCACGTCAACCAGAAGTGAATCTTTTTTTCTTTTAACATGCCTTAACGCCACCACATATGTATGGCTAAGTGTCTACACTCTTATAGAGACGATTTGCCCAAAACTTCAGAACGCGAGTGGAAAGTTGCAAAGAACTCGTTTCCAGCCCTAGTGCTGTCGCGTCCTAAATTTGCTAAACCTTACACTGCTTTGCAATAATTTTGGCGAAAAATTCATTCAGTTAAACGCCCAGTATAGACAGTCGTTTCTGTAAAACGAACATTAATATCTGCCTGTGGTTAAATAGTCATTTAAAGAAGCAAAAACTGGTTGTTTACCATTTACATAGACAAACCAGTCGGTTCACGGTTTGGGCAAATGGAAAGCAAAATTCCGGAATAGTAAATATCGTCCCTGATTCGTGTTTACCATTTATACAAATCAGTTCCTTTAACCGAAAAACGGCTGGGGAGGCCTGAAACTGGTATCAAAGACCGCTTTGAAAAAATGAAACTCAAATTTTCGTTTGGAACATTCCGTCCAGAAAAAACAGGACTACCTTTTCAGATGTTCCGTAGCTCCCAGACGTTTTTCGTTGGAACGGCCGAAAAACTCGTGTTCCATTTAGACACATTGAACACTGCACAGCTAATCGTACTACGTGGAAATTAACTTTACAAGACATCAACTGGTCTCCCTCGCAGCCGCTCTGGTGGGAGACACGCAAAAAGGGCCCGGGCGGATGCGAAGGAGACTAGACATCAACACGACTCCGATAGAACCCAAAACAGAGCGGTGTTGTAGCCGTCGACAACAGTTTCGCCATTACTGTGGCTCGTCAGGACGGCGCAACAACAGACAGGTGTCTTGCAAAGTCAATTTTCACGTAACACAATCAGCTTTGCAGAATTCAATTTGTCTACTTGGTATTTTTTGTTGATTAGCTTTTCTTTAGATCCTACGCTCTGCGGCATACTCGTTTGCGGTACTTTGCAGTTAATGTTCATTGAATTTCAATTACCTTTCAACCGGATTTTCCGGAAAAGATTTGCAAATAGTAAGCAACTACTAACTAACTCATACGAGTCGGTTAGAACATGTATCGTGAGAACATGTATCTATAAGAAGTAAAATGACCGTAAAGGGGTCTTGTTCATACTCACCCTAAAAGCATAACTATTGGAGCTATCCACAATCACCATAAGAGGCTTCCTGCTGAACGGCACAAGGTCTTCTGGGTACAAGCTGAAGAACACAAATAATTTATACCCAACACAAATAAGAACACAAATAATTTATGCAGTTCTTTGTATTACTGTTAGACCAGTTTTCAGTCGAGCGTAATCCGAGCGTGTTCAGTTGAGCGTATTCTTGGGCCATCGTAGCCTAAGCTACGTATAAACGGACGCAACAACTCCCAACATTGTTGGGCCAACAATGTTAGGATTTGTTGCGTCTGTGTTGGCAGTGGTGTGCTAATGGATGTAACAACTCCCAACAATGTTGGGACCTGCATTGTTTAGTGGGAAGGATACAACCCATAAGACTTTGTAAACCATGTGTAATGCGCGTGCGTGGCCCTAACAATGTTGGGAGCTGTGCAAACGCATCCAACATTGTTGCGCTACGCTTTCGCCATCACGGAACAAAAGAAATGTTGGGAGTTGTTGGTCCAAAAGTTTGACCGGTTTCAAGGTTTGCACAACAACTCCCAACAACATGCAACAGGGTGTGCAAACGGACGCAACATGTAACATTCAACAATGTGGGGTGGGGCTTACAAGCCGCAGTTTACGGTACACAAATGTCACGCACCAGTGAACATCCTTTAAGTTGGCTCTCGCACGTCTTGTACCTTCCTCGTTTCCCGCCTTTTTGTGGCACATGGCAACTCCTCCCATCTCGTAAGGACCTGGGATAAATCCCAAAGGAGAGAATTAAAAAATGCAAGTGTCAAGAGTTTATGCTAGTATCACAATTGTTCACACTAAACTAGCCTGTTCCAAGCGTTGAGATTGTGGAGAGGGCGCAAAAAGATGTAAGCAAGAGAAACAGCTCTCTCTTCCTTCACATTTTTCCCCGCACTCTGGCATCGCGCCCAATTCAACTATCCACTAACCTTCCTCTCCAGCCTTTGCGTTTCCAAGGCAACCATCACCGGAGACATAGACAAGCATAACGCCATTGCTAGGAAGTTCCTGAAGAAGGAAAACCGGCATACATAATAGTTATTTACATCGTTCTAGAATAGAGCTTTATGCTTTAATACTGGTATGATCCGCCTGTCAAAGAACTCGGTAGAGAGACAAGATTAAGGAAGCAACGAGTAAAAAGACGCAATTTTAGAAAACTGAACCACCACCAAACACTCTGAGGTGACTCCTGCATGAATGCCAGAAAACGCAGACCTCAACCCCTCTGCAAAATGTTGGCAGGCTAGGCTGGCCCCAGAGATGAGACACAGTTACGAGAGAAAAAATGTGTTTTGCTGCACAAACACTGATATAACTTACCTTTAAACCACAGGCCAGAAAAACGTATAACTGTGTTAACGTCGGTTTGTATAGCAGATACTTGTGGGGGTTAGGCCTCTTAGAGAACGAACGAGCAATTTCGCTGGTTTCCTAAAAAAGAATAGCATTTCTCTAGCCATTTGTAATAACTACAGAAACAACAACAACAAGAGAAGTCAGCCGGATTTCGTCTTTTGATTAGAGACCTTTACATTCGATGACTACGACAATGAGATTTGACTTAAAGGTTTTTCTTCGCGTATTCTGAAAAGCTACGGACAACTCGGAAAGCTTCCATTTACTTTTTTCCACCACAAAAATTTAAACGGTTATTTTTATAGACTGCTATTATCTTTATTGAAGGAGGTTAAGCCCCAATCCGATCGAAAAATGATAAATCTTGTAACATCATAAACTTGTTTCTATCAGTATGACACTTTTGCCAAAACCAGTAGTAGAATGACGGCGATTATCACGTTTTCCCTGGGTAAGAAATTATCAGATCTAAGCTTGCCCGTCTGAGCTCGCAAAAAATATTTTTCATTTTATTATAAACCTGAACAGGGTTCACTTTATCAGAGGGGCTTTCAGAGACTTCGTTGGTGGTGACCAAGGTACGTGGTGGAACTTCCTCCGGTTCCCTCTCCAGGGCCTGCAGCATGCGGAACATGTCCAAAGTTAACTCACTAAATTTTACCTGAAAAACAAGGAAAGAAATGAGGATTGGCATTTTAAAATACATATTCCCATCGTGTACTTTAAACTCGCTAACTCTGGGCTCTAGGGGAAAAGGTTACCATATTTCCTGAAATAAGTACCCAAGCTAGTCCTAGCCTACGAACGCAGACTTATTTCCGATTGTCTTTTCTTTCCGCGCGGAGAGTAGCGACAGCCGGAAATACGTCGATGTTCGCAATCTACCCAAGATCTAACGCATCAGAATAAAGATTTTAAAATTTTACTTTTTAGAGAGTAAGTCAAAATTTATTTTAAGACAATTGTCGATATACTTGTAAATATAATACATAAAATATAACATAAGCTTCTCCTGTCTAATTACCATGAGTCGCGATCAGTCGTGAACAGTACCCCAACAAAGTTGGATCCCTTGGTACGATTTCGCTATCGAGGAAGAAAATTGAGGAGAGGCGGCAAAACAACAGCGAAAGGGGAAAAACAGAACGAGATGTAAGCTTGTACTTGTACTTCTTATGGGAGGTAAGCTTAAACATGCTTCTGTTTAAATTCAAACCAGTCATTTTTACTCAAAATCATTAATTTTTAATTGTACATCCCGAAAGAAAGGTAATATATGTAATTCCTGGATTACTCCATTTCCATACTCTCATTTTTACCAAGCGTTTCTTAATACTAATAAGCTTTACTTCAATTTCTTTTTCATTCGTGGTGTGTAGCGACACATTTTAGCATTTTAGGATTTTAGAAAGATTTGAAATAAAAGGCTGGCAAAATGATGAATGTCTCAGTATGTATATAATAAACACAATACCACACGGAAAGTGCTTTGCACGGTATTTACGGACTCATTGTTTTTGTATGAGAAATCTCATTCGTTCGCGGCGCTCAATCGTTCGATTTCTGATACGTCAACAACTCGTGCGCAAATACCGTACGCACACACTTTCTGTGAAGTATTCTATATCAGGCACATAGCCCGCCACCAGACCAAGATGCCCCCGAGGTCGCTAGCAGCTAGATTAACTGGTTTGAGTGTATACTTTTTTAAACCGTTTCTGCCATTTAATGACAACCTTTCCCGACAAAAATCAACCTCAGTGGCCCTCTTAAAGCTGGAAAAAATACCTGCTTCTCACAGTTCCCCACGATAATAATTTCTTGTAAAGATAAGGCTGTACCGCTGACAGGCCTCTGAGCCGGAATCTCCTGTAGTGGAAAATTGTAAGGAAAACATATTGGTCCATATTAAGTCTAGGCATCACAGCTTACTCATAACACAACAACCCACAGTCAATTAACTGCTTTTGAAGGACGTAGCCTGTTGACAGACCGTCTGTTTACTCGTAAGAGATCGTGAAGCGCGCACATGAAAATAAAAACCGCGGGGGATTTATGTTCTCGCGCTCTTTGCTCGCTCTCGCGCGCTTAATCCACTCGCGTACTTGTCGATTTTTGAACAACTGCGGCCAGAAGAAGAAAACAACGTCTGTGTAAAGATAGCCTGTTTACAGGCTTCTTACTTTTTTGCTCGACAACGTGCAAACGTTTGTTTTGCTGATAGAAACCTATCACTTTTTTGTCGTTTTCGTTGCCGTCGACGTTTACATGGAGGTGGGGGACCCAAGGTGGGTGAGATAACCCTCTTATGTAGGGTAACCCGCCTGTCCGTATAATCTCTCCTATGGTCACTCCACCTATCAAGTAAACGTGATCAAATTAAAATGAGAGATTATATCGGCAGGCGGGTTACCTCACCTACCTGGGGTTCCCTAAGAGCAACGGGCGCCGAAAATGTCGCTTACAAACTGAATTCGCGTTCGATTATTCCAAACCGCTTACTCTGTCAAATGCAAGCGAACTCTTCTGGAGTTGAATTTCAAAGAACGATATCAAAGTTAAGAAAGGAAAGTCCTCCATGAAACGTAAAAGCCTTTTCACGTCCAAGCCGTGCAGCGACGGGTACAATCAAAATTACGGGGAAAACGCTTTGACAGCGTTATTACCTGGACGATGAGCTATAGCGTCGATTCGGACGTTTTCACACCTTCTGGCAATTTTATACCTCTCCAATGCAACGAGGAGCAGTGAGATGCTAAAATCAAAACCTCTAAAGATGCTGGAAAAACGCAATTGATTGCATAAATAGTGAGCGTCTCTCACGCGCCGAGTGGACGCAGCGAATCTACACGAAAACTTGGCGAACAATTGCCGGTACAGATCTTCGGTAAGTGCGGGAACTTTACCTGCCCCAGTCCACCAGACGAAAACGTTTCAACAGAAGAGTGTGCTAGACGACTTAGAAAGTACATATTTTTCTTAACTTTTGAAAACTCTCTTTGTGAAGACTACATTACAGAAAAATACTGGGGGTTTGGAATTCAAAACGATCTTGGCCTATTGTCCTTGGAGGTGCAAACTACAAAAAGCTCGCAATTCCAGGATCTTTCATGTTCAAAACTTTCAAACTGTCGAACAATGAGCAAAGTATATTGAGTACTTAGACAACAATGACACGGCGTACGATGCCTTTTTTGAGGGGAAGAAATACTACAGACTCGAAAAGTCGGGTCTTATGTTCGACTGCAAATTTGCGAAGCTATACATAGTACAAAGCGAAATACGCGAAAAGTCCATGACAATTTTGACAAACATTGGCACAAAAACAAATGCTATGGTCGGATTACGTTGCTTAGAGTAGAGGCCTTGCTTTTTGCAAAGAGATTACACTATTTTTGTAATCCCTACCTCTTCTGAAGCTAATGTCAAACGTCGAACTTTTCATCGGACGAATCTAACGCTAATAAGTGAGAACAACAGATTTTGTTTATTGGTATTTTGTTCGTCACATGGGTGAATTTCGATGTTTGACCTTAGCCTTAAGGTATAAATGATGAGAGTTTTAAAATGAAGATACGCTTCTAGACGTTCTCATGCACATCTTGCAAAGTGTGTGAATGTTGTTTTCATCCAAACACTTGTTGGCGATTGGACTTCCCGCAAAGGAAACTGTTCGAAAACTTTTCCGTGCAAAATTCAATACAACGCATTATGAGAATAAATGTACCACGTGCTGGAATTCTAAGGAAGTTACCGTTAATTTGCTAGAAAAATCTTCACAGCACCGATCAATTCAGTAGACTGTTAAACTAAGAATGGAACCTTGAGTCTGATAACGAATCGACGTTAAATGGTCAAAAATAAAGTATGGTTACCGATTAATTTCTGACTCCTCAGTTTTTTAAAGGAAAATGAAAAGATTTTTTTCTGGATAAGAAGATCGTCTATTTTTCCCTTTGAATTTTCTGCGTGCCACCATTTTGAATTTGTGGGCTATGGTACAGAAATAAAGGTTGATTCTTAACTCACATTTTCGGCCATTCTGTGTGATAGAGTGACGGGTACAACATCGGGGGTCATAACTGTCACCAGGGAGTCCGCCTGCATAAAAGAAGAACTAAGTCAAGGAAGATACCGTAAACTGCCGCTTATACTGAAGCCCTGGCCTGTTCTAAGTTCTAAATGTCAAAAACATGGTTTCGTTTTCTGATCACAGGGTAAACCAAACGCTAAACTTGAAATCCATAAAGTGTTTCAGGATCGCTTGACTTTTCTCAATCGACATATGATAGCTTAGATTAGATGGATTTTTTCGATTTGTCAAATTTATTGAAAATACTGGACCGCCAGTCATCTAATGTTTGAAAACCTTGACCGGTTACCGGTCAAATAGCCACAGCGTTCGAGAAAAGGGCCGCAGGCCTTGGTGTAGCTCACCTCCATAAACGCTGTGACTTCACTGATCACCAGTCTCCACTCTTCATCATCCTGTGCCTCATACACGCTCACATATTCTTCTACATAATGGTGAAGTTCTTGAATAAGTTCTTTCACAAGATCCACCTTGTTGAGAAGCAGACTAACCACAATGAAGCGTGCATAATAACGCAACTTCTTTACCATCAAATCAGGTCTGAAAAGAAAACAAAAACAAACAAGTTGCCACCAGGGGCGTAGCCAACCCTTAGACCTGTAGGCCCGGGCCTACAAATTTTTGGTTTGATCACTCTACCGCTTGTAATAAATTATGCATTGTTGGGGTGAGCTAAAAAGCTTAAGAGCTCAAAGTCATGCATGCAATTTTCAGGATATGTGGAAATGAAAGTCAGCCGGGCCTAAAACTAGTCGAAAAGCTGGCTACGCCCCTGGCCGCGCTATCCAAATGTATACTGGTCCCAGTTGTAAAGGTGGAAAGCCCTATCTATTGGACAGTGATTAATACTGTGGATAGTGCTATCCAACTTTTCAAGCCCAAAGCCAGTTTCTTCCTGCCGCTAAAATTTTGTTCGAAGATGCGCCATATTGACCAATAAACAATCGATAGTTCCAGAAGGAGTTTTAGCAAAAAGTGCTTTGGATTTCCATGGCATTAGCCTGAAAAATCAGCCAACAACCACTGGTTTCCCCTCGAAATGACGCCCGACAAACAAGCACAGAAATTCCATACTGATGACGCGTCACTGCCAAGCTCTGGGTAGAGTTCTGGGTAGTGCTTCTGATTGATTGGTTGAAGCAAATTTCCCTTGCTGAGCGACCAATCAGAGGTGCTACCCAGATCTGGGCAGTGACACGTCATGTATGGAATTTCTGTGATCGTTCCTCAGACGTCATTTGCACAGGGAAACCAGTGGTGGCATCGCAAAATGTCGGCTGTTTTTCTCAGGCTAGCATGGGATTGGCTAAACAGTCAAACAGGAAATACAAGAAACTAGGGACCGAAGTAGCGCATCTCACATAAATAAACCCACTCCGCACAACACTTTTAAGCAACTCATAACCTACCCAGATTATTCGTACATAGTAAAAATTTTTGAAATCCCCTGGCTGCCCTTAAGGCAGTTTAAGTACAACACTCAGAATTTTACAATTCCGTTTTTATCAGATTTATTTTCTCCAATCCATCCAGACTAAATTAAACCATTTCGGAGTTGCCTCAAGCCTCTGTTTCAAAGCGAGGCCAAGTGCAAAGCTGACGATATGAAAATGATTATTTATTCACATGCAAATGAAACTCATTTTCACTAGAAAGGTTTTGCACTTTGCCCAGTTTTGAAATTGAGAGTTTTTCAGGAACTCAGAAAAACTACCATAAATGATCCAATAGATGCCGAGAATGCTTATTTGATTTGCGAAGCAGCGAGAAGACAAATATCAATAAATGTTTCTTACTTTTCTTCCTTGCTGGCTTGACTGTAGTATGCTCTGGATCGGATAGCAGAGTAAAATCCAAATGACTCGTGAAGATAGTTTGCTTCACTTGTTCTTAGGCTGGAATGGTCGTTAAGAGATTTCACATTGATTAACACAGCTTTTCATGAGGTTTAATAATTAATTATTAATACAAACTTTGCTAGTGTATTGTAGGTGATAGTCACTACTAGGTAAGGCTTTGACACGATTAAGGAAGGTACAGTAGAAAAGACAACAAAAACATGCAACTTGTTTTGCAACATTGCTAAAAAAGTTGAACAACTGCTGCGAAAATCAAGATCAGAGTCAAAGTGCCCTTACAGAAGTTTAATACAGAAGCAGCAAGATTCAGAGTGCAAGATAATGCAAGATGCAAAAAAAGATGTCCTTACTAGTAATGATAGTAAAGCTGTCCAATTTTAGATGCAATTTCTCCAATTTGCCATCTTTTTAAGTTATATTTGGCATCCAGAATTGACCTAAAATAACAATACAATAAAACAAGTTTCTTGTCATATCCCAAGATGGGTTTTCAAAGTTAATCTATGAACAGTTACAAAAGGCAGAAAACCTAGTTACAATATATTCTAAAACTACTGGAAAACAGCTTAGATGAAAATCAGGATTTCTTTCATGGACTCTCATCCAAAATAATTGAGCTGTGTGTGGAAGCTAAGCGTCGAAGTCTCCCTTTTGATAAACTTGTCCTTCCTATCAAGGACTCTGATTTTTTCTTTGCCCTACACTCATGACATTTTGATCCCATCATTTCTCATTTCTTCACCAAGCTTAAAATTTACCATCACTTATTCTTTATCTATCAAATCAAAAGTAATTCTGAAGGAGAATATGGAAGTTTCTCAAAAATCAATTGGGGCTTTGCACTAGGCACCCCTTCATTTAACACTTGCACCCCAAAATGGTAGCCAAAGTTATTCAACATTTTCAAATTTCATGTTGTGAAATGAGAAAAAACATAATTTAGTACCAATAATCCAAGTGAAAGTGCTGCCAAAGATGTTTCATTTGAATGGTCACACCATGGCATTTCATTCACAGACTCAATATCTAGAACTGAACACCCTTCAAGACTCTAAAATCTCTAGGAGCGAATGGGCTAACTAAGGTAAAAGGGCTTATGATAATACTTATGATTTATGTGTTGAGTTGAGCATGGCTATGGCTTTTATATGGAAAGAATCCCAAATTACTGAACTTGCATTATATCAAGGTGTCCAATATCTTAGTTTTGTGCATGAACTAAGATTTCTTTGTTGTCCCAAGTGTGAAAGCAAGTTGCCTGAGGCTAATAGGTGCATGCTTTATGCTAGCACATAGTTCTACCTTAACCACACATTGTGTTCTTAATGTTGTTACTTTTTATAAGTTCAAAAAATTAAAAACAATATCTCACACAAACAATATTATTACCTGTGCTTCTGCTGAAACTTCCATAACTGGTTAGCAAAAAAAATACATCAAAGTCAAATTTCAAGTGCTAATAAAAGAAATTAAAAGGTCATATGACTGTAATGGCAGGGATGGAATTAAACTACTATTCCGAATAATGCAAACTTACTCTAGTATAAACATCAAATGTTTTTCCAAAGTGGGTCTGCCAATGCTTGTTTCCAAACTGTGGTAAGTCTCTGACAGTGCATAAATTGGAGAAACAAAGGCAAAAAAAAAATTAATAACATCATAAAATGAAATGACAATGAAAATTTCATTTAAAATAATAATACTGGTAAATAAGACAGGATATCTGAAGTCAATAATAAGGAGTATATCAGTTGAGAAGATTCACTTATACATTGGTTTCTACATGCACTCCAAACTGAATTTTCCTACTTCCTATATGCATTTAAAAAATGAAGTCTGACACTGTACTAATTAGTATTAAGCAGAGGCGTTGCTTTTACAGTACCCAGGTAAATTCTGACAGGTGACGTGGCCTTGAAACAACATCATAAAACATGTGAAATGGTGTCAAACAGCAGACTGAAAGACACTGATGATGTAAAATATTAAAAGGCATATTGCTTCCTCCTCAATAACTGAAACAATAATGGATTTTCACATTCAGACTAACAGCATAGGACCCCCATTCCCCCCTCTATCACCACCAAAAGGACCTCAAGATACAGTGTGCAACAAATGCGGACTGCAGACTTGCAAATAAACAAGGGAAACAGTGCTGTCAAATGCTCTCAAAACTATGACAAAACAGACTCAATGTTGAGGTTTGGGATATAGTTGTGATTTTTGTAAGATGTTTATCCACAGGTAACTCAGGCTCAGTATTTCTGTCCTGTATGGGTTTCATATAACATGAGTAAATATAGAGAACATAGAAAATGGAAATAAAAATCTACGTAAACCATGTGGCAAGTTGTTGTTGTCCTGGTAAGTTTCATCGATTTTTATTTCCATATACATTTTCTAGCAAATTTCCAAACCTAAACTTTGCCCCATATGTTCTCTACATTTACTCATGTTATCTGAAACCCGTACAGGACACAAATAGTGAGCCTGATCAAGTTACCTGTGGTTTATCTGCATCTGCCAGTCTGCACGTCTATAGTCTGCATTTGTCTGCATTTGAAGGAGCGATGCATGTGCAGAAAAACCCAGCAGGACAGATTTTATCTTATGCTCTCAGTCCTTATTTTTCCTACTGAAGAAAAGATCATTTCATGCAAATCCTCTTTGCATAATAATACACTAGCCAGAAATCGTGGTTACGTCGGGGGGGGGGGGGGGGGTGGGGGGGGGGGGGGGGAAAAAAAAACCATTTGGGAAGAATTGGGAAATATAACAATTTAAATTTTTTGCACCTCAATTTAAAAAAAAAAAAAAAAAAAAAGGGGCCCCAAGGAACAAAAACCCACCTATACTAAAAACACAAAGAAAAACTTTTAGATGACCAAATTGGCATATATTCAATTGTAACTTCTTGTCACCTAATTTGAAAAGACTAAAAAAAGTAAAGGGGCACCAAGGATACAAACACCTCTGCTACTCAAGACACAAACAGTAACTCTTTGCTGAGCCCATCCCACACTAGAATAACAACACACCCTCAACTCTGCATACTTAGAAATGTTTCAACTTCACGTGAAAACAGGTATAAGAAAAAGCCACAAATAAGAGTCACACCTTAGCGAGTTAAAAAGCTGTCGTGATTTCTCCTGTAACTGGCAAAACTCCACGACGATCTTTCTTTCTTCAGTTTTGGAATGCGTTGCATCGTTATTTACATCTTCCGCCATTTTGTTTGACAAGAGACTGCTGTCTGCAGTTTCTTTGGAACGCTGGCTCGCATCCAGTCCCAATCTCTTTTGTTCATTCTTTTATATTTTCTTTTCTTTTTCTTTCTTTTTCTCTTTCTTTCAAACCCCCAATTTTTTTTTATCAATAAGAAGGAAAAAGAAGAAGAAAGAAAGAAAACAAACAAACAAAACACAAAATTACCACTAGACTTTTTTCCGCTTCTCATTTTCTATTTTTCCTTCTGTTTTCCATAAGTTTCCTCAAATCGCCAGGTTACCCAGTAATAATATTTTTTGCGGTCATGTACATTTTACGTGATCGTCAAGAGAAAAATCTATTTAAAGTCGAACTCGTGACAAAATAACCTTCAGTCATTTCACATACGAAATCTCCGTTTCAAGATGATCTTATAGATGATTTCTGAGGTTTAAAATGGAGAGAAGTGTTACCTTCGAGCTTGGGTTTTTCGCTGGTAGTCCATCGAAGCCGTCGACTCAATTGAACAAACCGAGGATGCGACATATTTCAGACCGCCACCCAAAACAACTTCTGGACACTTTAGATGCTTTGCGACGATGTCAGGAGCTGTGCGATGTAGTCATAAAGGCGGGTAGTAAGACTTTGTTCGCTCACAGAGTTATTTTGGCAGCATGTAGCCCGTATTTTCGCGCCATGTTTACCGGCGAGATGGCGGAAAGCCGACAAATGGAAATCACAATTCAGGATGTCGATGAATCCGCTATGGAATTACTAGTTGACTTTGCCTACACGTCTTCGATAACTGTAGAAGAGAGCAATGTCCAGTCACTTCTCCCGGCCGCTTGCTTGCTGCAAATCGCAGAAATTCAAGATATATGTTGCGAGTTTCTAAAACGCCAGCTTGACCCCTCGAACTGCCTTGGTATCAGAGCTTTCGCCGACACTCATGCTTGCCGAGATCTCTTACGAGTCGCTGATATTTTCACTCAGCACAACTTTCAAGAAGTTATGGAAAGCGAAGAATTCCTTCTTTTGCCTGTTACTCAGCTACTCGATATTCTGTCGAACGACGAGCTTAACATTCGTTCTGAAGAACAGGTTTTTACGGCGGTCATGAACTGGGTGAAATATAGCATTTCCGAAAGGCGATGCCATCTTTCACAAATACTCCAACACGTTCGGTTACCTCTGTTACCACCCAAGTTCTTAGTGGGAGTAGTTGGAACAGATCCCTTGGTAAAAAGTGATGAATCTTGCCGGGACTTGGTAGATGAGGCAAAGAACTATTTGTTACTACCTGAACAAAGGTTGCTTATGCAGGGTCCTCGTACACGACAGCGTAAACCCACTAAATGCACAGAAGTGTTGTTCGCGGTAGGGGGGTGGTGTAGTGGAGATGCCATCAGTAGTGTAGAACGCTATGAGCCTCAGACAAATGATTGGAAAATGGTGGCCACCATGAGTAAGAGACGCTGTGGTGTAGGCGTAGCGGTTTTGGACAATTTATTGTATGCTGTAGGCGGCCACGATGGTAGCAGCTATCTTAACAGTGTTGAAAGGTATGACCCCAAGACTAATCAGTGGAGCAGTGATGTGGCACCTACTTGCACGTGTCGAACAAGTGTTGGTGTTGCTGTGCTAGATGGGTAAGTTTAAGATAATTTATTGACTTTTATTGCTTTGAAGTCAAACCATTACAGTGTGATGGCTTCAACCGCTGCCACCTAAGGACTTTTAGCCAATCAGAAACCACTCCTTCAACAAAGAAATAGACATGTGGACCTCATCGGGAAACTGTCCTATTTTTCAATTGGTCAGTTTTGCTGCTACTTTTTTGCCATTTAGAATGGCTTACTTCTAGCGAGAGCCAATCTGGAACCAAATTTTTTCTTCTGTTGACTTGTGTTGCCTTGTTGGAGGTGAAAATCGAAATCATGTCTGTACAGCTGAGAATTAATCAGTTTGGTGGTCTTTATGATAACACCTGAAACTTGCTATTCTTTGTCCACAAAAAGGTTCTAGATCTCTAAAACATTGGCAATCTCAATGTGTGATCTCTCAAGAACTTGGAACCAGAAGAAAGTTTAAAGAAATACAGAATGCTAATGAAATATCACGCAACACCACACTGAGCGTGCTTTTCCATCCTGCGATCAGTATGGGAAAATATTGACAGATATAGATAGAGCTGCAAGAAAAAAAAGCTTTTTAACAGCAAGTGAGAAGTTTAGGATTAACTTTCTTTGAATTACGTGATAGGTTCATGCGGTTTGAATTCCCTTTCGGCTGAAGAGGGAGATTGGGATTACTCCATGTCTTCTTGCGTTATAAATAAAGCGCTAGGCCAGCGGTTGTTTTTTTTTCTCTTTGACTGCAAGTGTTTCTGGTAAAGGAAGACATATCCTTCCTTTTTTTCACAAATGAATATTCTGGACCCGGATCTAGAATAATGACGTCTTGTTGAAGGAATAAGAGAATACAATTCACGGTAAAGAAAAACACACGCCATATTTTCAAACGACGTCTTGTAATCAGACTGCATGCTTTCTCTCCCATAGATACAGGGCACTTTTGTACCCCTTACCGACCAATAAGTATTCCAACCCTTTAATAGATATAAAGCAGCTTCCATATTTTACAAAAGCAGCCACAGAAGAAAGACGGGTAAGTGCATACATATGACACACCATTCTAAACGGCAAAAACATTTAGGATCAAAACTAACCAATCGAAAGATAGGACAGCTCCCAATGATTTCTTCACACCCACTTCTTTGTTTAAGGAATGGTTTCTGATTGGCTGAAAGTTCTTAGGTGGGCCTGGTTGAAGTCGTCACATTGTAATACTGACACTAAGGGGGGCGTATTAAGCGTGTTAAATTTTGCGAAAATTTAAGGTTTTTCCGCGGGGACAAAGAAGTATTTTCAAGAGGCTGTTTACAAGGTTCTTAGTAAAAGTACATATGTAGTGGGTTGGTAGGCCTGCACAATTTTTTCCTGATCATATACTGTTATCATGACTGTCACAGCATGTGTTAATTTCTTGTGCCATGTTTTGTCACACTGGGCCCATCTTTACATTGTTTGCAAGATAATATGGTTTTGGTTTATTGATGAAACACAAGTAGAAGTGGTTGCTAAAATTTTGTAGAAACACAATGTTGTTATCTGTTGATCAATATGTGTGCTTCTGATAATAATTATTTGACTCAAGAATTTTGATAAACTCAACATTACATTGGGTAGTTTTTCTTGTAGCAACCACTATTTTGTGTTCTTTGTCACTCCTACGTGGGACACTGATAAAAGCAAGACTGTGACTGGACAAGTCACCATACCATGAACTTGGTACGCATGGTTTCAAAGCAGAAATCTGATCGGATAGATGTTGAAAGGCTTGCATTAACTGAAGTTTGCAAAATAATTTTGCTGCTTTTAAAATATGTGCTTGACAAAGTTCTTCTAATATGTGTCGATGGTGTGGTTGTGCACAATTGGCATCAGATAGCACGCAATTGCACAATTCCAGAAAAATCGTTTAATTCATAAAAGCAATGTCCAATTTGAGTGAACTAAATAAATTTTAACTTTTATTAAATATTTTCCCAAGCTTATCACTGTTTCAGGGTGATTTATACAATTAAAAATAGCCTGGAATAATTTATTGTGGTAATAGTTTTTGTTCCTAGGGGGTACCATTTTAATAATTACTGCAGAGACATGCATTGTCATCTGTAGTACAAACTGTCATTTAATGATCTTTTTTCTTTAAATTGTTCTTTTTATATTTTTTTTGGTTCAATTTATAAGAGGACAAAAAAAAATCATTCAACTTTTTTTTTTTTAAATACCCGTGGTATAAATGTAGATGTTCTGTCGTTCTTTTAAACTCAAATTGTCTGTGAACAAAATTCAAGTGATATTCCTCCTCTGAATCCTGGTAAAACAAGGTTATATTAGCCCTGAAAAAAATCACTTGATTAGCATAATTAACTGCATATAGTCTAGACCTTTCATATCACTTAATCTGCCCTGTAAATGCTGCATGATTTTCTTTTTTATTTCACCCTATCAAAAGGCCTGTGGATGTACTAGTATCTTCTTTTGCTCTCTTTCTAATCAACCAAGGAAATTCTTTCAGGTACATGTATGCTGTTGGTGGGCAAGATGGTGTTTCTTGCCTTTACATTGTCGAAAAGTATGACCCTCAAGAAAACAGATGGTATAGAGTAGCCTCCATGAGTTCCCGAAGATTGGGTGTGGGCGTGGCCGTTCTTGATGGCTACCTCTATGCTATTGGAGGTTCAGACGGTACCTCACCCTTGAACACAGTAGAAAAGTATGATCCTAAAACCAATCGCTGGAGTCCTGTTGCTCCCATGGGAACAAGGAGGAAACATCTTGGAGCTGCCTTGTTTCAGGATAAACTTTATGTTGGTGTGTGTAATTTACTGTGTTTGTTAACGTATGGAAGTTTTTGCATGTAATGTTGACAAAAGCATGAATACATCTGTACATCAACTTGACTGGTCCCTGTTCAGCAGTAATTTAAGCAGCTCTCATTTTGAAAAAATAAAGCAATTTTCACAGTGCATGACACCACAGTGGTAGCAGAACATTTCAGGCAATAAAAAATGTGTTTATGCTCATGTTAATTAGCTCATAAGCAAAAAGAAAACATTTTTATTGCAGAAGTGAAATCCAGATGTTTTTGTTGATTTCCCGTCACCATATTTAGTGCCCCATGTTGGTACACAAGCATGGCATCTCCACCCAAAGTTCTAAAAACTTGCGTGATACTTTTTGGTAAATAACTAAAAAACTGTGCATTGCACAGAGCTGAGACTTGGATATGTTGCATATTTATGAGTCTTGCATATCATTTCATTTTCATTGATTGGTTTCAAGTTTATTTTTTCATCGCGAAACTGGGAAACATGCTATAGCCATTCTGTTTCATTCAATATGATATGTTTACTCTTGTTTTAAGTTGGAGGACGCGATGATGCAACAGAACTCAGCAGCGCCGAATGCTATGATCCCAAGGCAAACCAGTGGTCTCCAGTGGTGGCAATGAATTCTCGCCGCAGTGGTGTTGGACTTGCAGTAGTGAATGGACAGTTGCTTGCTGTTGGTGGTTTTGATGGAAACACGTACCTTAAAACAATCGAAGTGTTTGATCCAGTCTCTAACCAATGGAAGCTGTATGGTGGAATGAACTATCGCAGGCTTGGGGGTGGGGTTGGGGTTGTACAGCTTCCTCTGAGTGATGCATTCGGATGTTGACATGTTAAACTCGTCAACAGAGATGAGCATGGGGGTGGGGGGGGGGGGGGGGCCGGGGAGGCTGGGGGGGTTTCAAAATTGCAGCGGGGTGAAATGCATCCCTTTGACAACCTTGAGGGTGGAATCAGCCCGGGCACTGCCCAACCGCTAACCGGTGAAACGTAACAGACTTACCATATACTTACCCCCGGGTGGGGTTGGCCTTGAGGGGGGGGGGGGGGGGGGGGGGGGGGGGGGTGCCTGTGAGGCTGGTGGAGCTTCAAAATTGCAGCTGGGTGCAATGCATCTCCTTGACAACCTTGAGAGTGGCATCCACCCAGGCACTGTCACACTGCTAACCAGTGGAACCTAACATGCTTACCATATACTTACCTCAGGGTAGGGTTGGACTTGTGTAGGAGCAGAAAAACGCTTTGCAAGCATGAGCCAAGAAAGACAACAACATACAAACATATAATCATCACGATAACAACAACAACAACAACAAAAACAACAGAAAACATCAGACAAACTTAATAGTCTGACCCCAAGAGCCCCTGTGATGCAATAAGGGTGCCCCTGCATATCTCCTACGAGCTACATATATGTCTTGAGTGTACCTTACATTTAGCCTAATTTTATTTAGCCACGTGGTAGTGATACACTGTACTAGATATTTTGGTGGTTGCCTTTAATGGTGTTGTAAAAGCTAGCCCTGTAGGCAGTTTAGAGGCAAATGAAGCAGTTGCTGCAGTAAAATCCTTGAAGTTTCTTGCCTGTGCTTTACAAGAAAGCTGACACTGTATGGCTAAGACAGCTATAGGCGTGGCTCATGCAGTCTTTAAAAGCTCTTGAATTTCAGCCACCATCTTAAAAAGTCTTTGAATCTCATTTGAGTCATTTAAAAGCCACTGAATTTATATTGCACAGAGAAAAGTACTTGAAAATTAAGATATTTCATTCACGATTTAATTGCTTTTTTTTTTTTGAGATCATTATTTGACATCCATCTTGTACACAGATATTTCATCACACTAATTTTTGAGCCTTGTTTGCCAAAATTTGTTTCTTGCTTTCTTCTTTCACTGCAGTGTGTTTTGTCATTGTTAAAATCAGGGCCAAGGGTAAGTGCAAATGCATATGTTTGACAATTTAGGCAATGTGGCCAAGTGCTTGGCCTTAAATGTCTTTGTAAAGTGCTTGAATTTTGTTTGGCGTTTTTTGTATAAAACATGTACACTTTTTTACTGACAATGACCTCGGTTGGTATTTTCATCTGGCTACAGCCCTAGAGGCTCCTTTTTTGGCCTTTTACGAAACAGCACCGAAATCCTTGTTGGTTGAAGGGAAATTTGAAACTCATTTCCAGTAATAAAGTTAAGTTCGTTGAGGGCCCAGAACAAGAATATCGGGGTTGTTTAACCCTTTCACTGCCAAATTTAGCCAAAAGCAAATTTCAACCAAATGTCCAAATTTCATTTTGGGAAATTTTGAGAAACAAATAGCACCATATGTAAGTACAGGCAGAGAGCTTTCACTTGAATGGTCACATCGTAGGATTTGGTCCGCAGACTCAAAAGATAGAGTCACCGTACAAAACTCTATCAAGCACTCTGGCAGTGAAAGGGTTAAGGAGAGGGGAAAAGAGAGCACGTCTTGTCGCTCTTCCTATCGTCCCCTGAGCTCTCACCAGTGTGTATGACGAGAACATAGGAGAATTACAGGAAAAATATTGCAAAAGAGGCAAAAGGAAGCTTAATGGACCGTACTGAAAAGAAAAAGACTGGAAGTCAATAGACCTTTTTAGCTTGTATGTTTTGTTTTCCCACTTCAGACCACGTGATGATGTTACCCCCCAGAGAACTGTTTCTTTCAAATCTCGTCCTATGCATGTGCTTCCACGGCCTTTGTATACATATAGCGTGTTTTCACTCACGTGGCCAGCATCTATGCAAATTTATTGAAACAAAAGAAAACGTTTGCATAAGAAAAGTGTTCAACTCCCAGAGGATTG